GGAACTGCCCTCACCTGGCCAGGAACCACCAATGCCCCTCCCCAATCATTAATTATTGGCTGGGAATCTCCTTGTGCTCCCCTTCCCATAGCTTATCTTAGGTTTTAAAAGCACCTGAAGGCAGAAATAGCTCTCTCTCAGCTTCCACCTCACCATGCTTCCCTTTGTATTTCCCATCCCTAACTTTTAATTGACTCCATTTATACCCATGTGTCCTGCCATGGATTTTTCCCGGTGGGATACAAAGAACTTGGGAGTCTTCTGATCACAGACTGCACCAGAGCCATTAACAGCAGCACTTACTAATAAATTTATTAGGCTGTTGAGATAAACCAGTGAAGCTACTCAAGACATGAGGAGGAATAAATTGCCCAGTTTACCATGGATTCCTGCATTTTGGTTAGAGTTAAGATGGAAGGTGCATGACTAACAACTTGTTAAAATGATATGATAGGAAATTTTTCAAAACCTCTAACACTTTAAAGAAAAAGCAACTCACTTATTTTAAATAATGTTTAATAAAGCCTAATCCCAGTACAACAAAATAATTCAGGTAGTCCCCTGGAGTTAGTTCTCACGGGATTTAACCTATCTATTCAACACTCAATTAACCATAAAGCTTACCCTAATTGCGGATCATGTGACTTCTAAGATCCTCTTCCATCTATCCACCCACTACTCCAACTCAGCTGCCATAGCTGAGCAAAGCCCAACGGTGCAAGATTATTCATTACTATGTGATACCCTGCAGGCCCATATTCCTTTCTCACACTGTGTGGATAAGCAAGAGTTAAATTTAGTATCTCATCAACCTGGCTTCCACAAAGTAAAGTTTCATAACCTTGACTGCCAACAAGGAGCTCAAACATTTCAACAGAATGTCTTCATAAAACAGTAAACAAAAATGTCACACCCTTTCTTAAATATATTAATTTTTAAAATTAACAGGAAAGAAAAACTAAGATACAAAGCCTTGCTCTTAGAATATTCTTTTATTTTAGATAGGTAAAACCTATTTGCCAGTCAGGTCCAACTCCTTTCCTTTGCCTCCAGGCCACAAGTTTACTATACAGTTAAATAAACCTTTACTACTGCCCCCGATACAAGTTCACCTAGTCAGCAATACTACCAACTAAATTCTGACAAAACTGGCAACCAGCAGTACACAGTCTAAGAAGATTATCTAGCTGTGGCTAAACTGGCCTTCTAGACACGAAGGTCTTCCTTTCCACTCCCTGGTGTATCTTCTGGCCATTTTCCTGTTCATTTAGCAACTTTCTGCCAGAAGGTAGGAAAGGGAAAGGCAATTAAATTTAAGTCAACGCCATCGTTCTTTTTTTAAAGCTATAGGATATGCCACATAGGCTGTGGATAAGTTGTACCCTTAAACCCGAAATAATTTCTCAGAAAAACAATGAACCAAACGTATTTACCTAACAAACATTAACAAACTCATAGATAAACCTCACTGCAATAGAGCCCCTCCTCCTCCACCATCTTTACTGTTTTAAGTGTTCATTCCCTAATCCCTTCCCCAATTCCAAAACACACTCATGAAAAGGAGAGAAAATGCCTATGTTTTACTGAAGGACTCAATCTGAAAACCAGAATCTAACAGTCACCTTTTTCTTTCAATTTACTGAACTATGAAAAAGAAAATGCTAACATACAATGTCAATGCTAATTTTCTGCTCCCAGAGCTTTAACCACTCAGTAATAAAAATAATGCAAAAAAGAAACATACTATTGAGTACAGTAAACTCAAACCAAACTGGTTTGGTTAATATCTGGTTTAATGTGTGAAAACTATAGTATCTTTTCAATCATGATCAACAACTCTTGTTTTACTAGTCCCAGGAAGCATTAACTGAATAACAATTGTATTAAATTGTGGCCAATTTGCTATGTAGACAAACAGCCACTGGAGGCTATACTCATTCTAAATTTGCAACAAATTAAGTTTTCAAAAGTATTCTACACCCTCTGGGCAAGGTTTGAAACTACATGTCTTTTTTTTTTTTTAAAGGAAGCCATTTATGTTAACTAATTAGGAATAAGACAATGGGGGGGTCAGTTATCTTATCCTATTGTCCAAACTAAAAGACAGTTTAAAATTCTCAAAAACATAGTAGTCTTTGAATTAAGAGAAACTATTCCAGAATCATATGACTAATGCACAAAGCACTGAACTCTTTAAAAAAAAAAAAAAAAGTTTTTTTTTCTTTAAGTTTAACATTACCAGGTAGGGAGCTTATTTCCAAAGATCAGGTAAGAAGGCATGCAGCTCAGCAGTAAGGCACTTGCCTGGCATGCATGAGGCCCTGGGTTGGATCCCGAGCACCAAAAAAAGACATTAGTAAGCAACCATTCTTTACACATCTCCCAGAAAAAGGGTCCAGGGTCCAACAGTACACTCACTCCTTGCTGAATATTTTCAGGGGAAGGCACTTTACATAAATAATTTTCAAAGGGAAATGGGCAGTGTCAAAGTAGACTGAAATTTGCTAGGGGGTGTAGCTCTGTGGATCCAGCACATGCTTAGCATGCTGGATTCAATCCCCAGCACTCAAAATATATAGAAATTGTTTAACATAATTCCTAATTACCTCGTTCTATTATCACTGAATTGCTTTAATGAGCTGTTAGTAAATTTTAAAAACCATTCTAGCTGGGCATGAAGGCTAACACTGGTAATCCATCAATCGAGAGGCTGAGGCAGGAGGATCTCAAGTTCAAACCAGGCCAGCCTGGGACTGGGAGCAGGTGGCTCACGCCTGTAATCCTAGCTACTCAGGAGGCAGAGGAGGATCAGGTTAGAAGCCAGACCCCTATCTTGGAAAAAAAATTTAAAGAATACATTTAAAAAAAAAAAAATCACAAAACAGGGCTGGAAGGGTGGCTCAAGTGGTGGAGTGCCTAACAAGTGTGAGGCCCTAGGTTCAAATCCCAGTACCGGGTTAAAAAAAAAAAAAAAAGAAGGAAATTTTGTTAATTTTGCTGAACTCTGTATTTTCAAAATCTCTATAGTTTAAGGGATATTTTCTGGTAGAAACATTTCCTACAACTATTCTAGAAAAATTATGGTGTCACACTCAGTCCACAATTCTCACCTTCACACCTTCAAAACACATTTCTACATGCCAAAGTCTGGCATATACCTTTTTCTTCTTTAAAAGTGATTACACAATTAAGTCATTTCTACCAATATATAAAACATCCTATAATTTAGGATCACAGGCAATTTAGATTTCTGCTCATTTAAATGCAGAACGTGAAGCATCATCCAGTGACAGGCGCTGTCGTGTTCAATATCATTTTACATTTTACAAACAGAGCCTCATCTTAAAAACATCAACCCTGCAGGATTCTTCATCCTAAAGCCCCATAGGGTGTGATTTCTTTACAGGTGTTAGTACATAAAGCAACACACGTGGCTAAATTCAGAGGGCCTTTCTAAGAGCTAGCAGCATTTTTTAAGACAGTAAAAGAAAAACGGCATCTCTCCTTCAGTTCTTCTTATTTCCCTGCTTTGGGTATCCAATGGGAGTGTGTTACGAATTAAAATTTTAAAGAATCAGTCCAAAAACCAAAAACCCTGTAGCAAATGCTAACAAGTCATTGCCTCAGATGGGGGAAAGGGAGCGTTCAGGGTGGAAGAGATTCATTTTTCAATGTTGTACCTTTTTAGCTGTATACGGTACAACCATTTTTTAAAGAAGCAACCGTTCACGAACTTACAGGTTTCCAATAGCATTTTGGCTTAAGCAGCACTCTGGCTGAAGACCTAGGACTTGTCGCCTGCTCATCTTAAAACAACCTGCCGCCTCACGGGCTCATCTTCACACGGCGGGCACTGGGGGCCGGGCGGCCGCGGTCCCGCTCCCCTCCCCGGCCGCGGCGGAGGCCGCTGCTCCCCGCCTTCCTGCTTCTCTACCGTGCGCGCCTAATAACAAAAACAGGCTGGCTTCGAAGCGCGGCTCAAAACTGCAAAAAGGAAGTCTTCGCATTGGGGAGGGGAAGGAAAAAAACAAAAGTTTGCACTCGGAGTGCATCTCAGCCTCCCTCCCCGCACTCGTGAGTCCGGGGGACCGCGGTGGGATCCGGGATGCTCCGTTCCCCTCCCTCCCTGCTGATCCCCGGGTGAACTTTTCCACCCCAGATGCCCTCGGTCCGCCCGGGAACCCACGACACCCCCGGCACCGACTCCCGGCGTGGATTCCTGAAGGCCTGGGCAAGTCATTTTCTCTAATTACCACTAACTGGACCAATGAGCGACAGAAGACGGGCGAGGGCAAAGGCAAAATAACAACAGTAACGCTCAGGACGGCGATCGCTCCATCCCACCCAGCAACTTCCCACCGCCTTCCCCCAGCCTGCGCGGCAGACGTAGTAAAATGCCCTTCTCCCAACTGCGAAAACTGCGAGAACTACAGCCGAGTCCCCCCAACCCCGCGAGAGGAAACCCCGCTGCCCACTGGGGCCAAAGTCATTTTTAAACGCCCAAGTGCGGGAAGGAAACCGCAACGACCCCCACTGGAGCCCCGAGTGCGGCTCCCGGAGGCTGGGCGGGGGTCCGCGCCGGCGCCCCGGTCCTTCCGGGTAACTGCGGAGGGGCCAAGCGGCCAGGGCCGCGGGAGGCAGAACCAAGATAAACTTCAGGGACACCAGAGCAAAGTGGGCCCCCGTGGGCCTCCCCCAAACTCCTCGGACGACCCCTCCGCGCACGGGAAACCCCCCCGCCCCGCACCCCTCAGCCCGCTGCTACCCAGCCTGGGCTCTCCTCTCCCGCCGCCCCCTGCCTGAAAGGTAGAGGAGAAGCGAGGTGGCCCCGACACCCCGAAACTACACCTCGGCGCGCCCCCCACCACCACCGCCCGGCGCGCCCCCTCAGCGTCCAGCCCGAGCCGCCCGCTCGCGGCAGCCCGGGTGCCTCGCCCTCTCCCCTCCGTCTTGCACCCCACCGCTCGCCCGCCGCCACCGCCTCCTTTATCTCCACTCACCACCCGCCGCCATTTTCCTCACAGCTCCGCTTTAAATCGGAAACTCGCCGCTGAGCCGAAGGCGCCGCCGCCACCACCGACTCAGCCGCGGCCGCCGCCGTCCGCTGTGAGGGGCTGAGGCGGCAGCCGCCGAAGTCGTGGCGCGGGGGCCGCCGGGATATGTAGTCCCTCGGCCACGCCCAGCACTACCGGTCCCAGGGGGCCATGCGCGGCCGGCCCAGGGTTCCAGCGCCCCGCAGGCTTCCGCGGCCGAGGGCGTGGCCAGCGAGACCCACGGGCAACTCTCGCTTCCCTTCCCCCCGCAAGCCCACGCCATCCCCCGCCGCTGCGAGGACCCGAGAGCTGGAATGCGGTCCCCGCCCTGCCCTTATTTATTTATTTTTTCGTGCTTGTCTTCAGCCAGTAATAGCTAACGTTTATGGAGCATTTATTGTATGCCAAGCACGGATTCTCCAAGGAAGCATCCTTTAGGTACCACGATCATTCGTATTTCTCAGATGCATAAACTGAGGCATGAGGTCAGAAGCCCAGAGACTGTTCAGTCACCCGGTGAAAGGTTATTAGGCTAGAGGATATTCCGTCCAAAAGTATCATTTCCTCGAGTATTTATGACTTACAACAGCGAACGGCTTGCTTTACAATGGAGCGATCTGGCAGACACCACCTTACCCAAGTGATCGATTGAACTTAGTGTCGCCCGTAATGGGTCCAGCTGTCATTATGTGCCTCCCGGTACGATGCAATGCGGAAAGCGTAACGCTACCTCTGTAGTGTGCTTGCCAAAAATAAATAAATAGATTAAAAATAGCTAACCCGAAAAAATAATCAAACGAATCCAGAATATGGGACATTCTGCACAACAAATAGCATGGACTCTTCATATCAAAGCAGAAAAAGAGGTGAAAACCAAATGCGAACATGAGATTTGGTTAAGGATAATTTTATGGAAAAAGCATTGGGAGATGAAGTTTTGGTTGTTGTTGGGGAAGGATTTTTCAATGGAATGTGTAATAGGTAATATTGAATCAATATGACATGTCTTGAGTGTGAGCAAAATAAAATGACCTGACAGGAGCCCCACTATCACCACCAATGTTTCCCACTCCCACCTGGACTCCTCGCTGCTCCCCCTGTTTTCATCTTTCACCCCTGGAGTCTGCTCTCCACCGGGCAGTCAGAAGGATCCCGGTAAAAACCCAGTCAGTTTGTCTCTCTTCTCCAAAGTCCTTGCAGTAACCCTCAAAGCACCACAGAACCCAGCTCTCACCTCTGCGCCCTCCTCTAAGCTCATCATCCCCTTGGCTTCCACTCACTGCTGTAGCCCAGGTGCACAGGACCCTTTGTGTCTCCCAGCACGCTTAGCACACTCCAGCCTCGGAGACCTTGCACTTTCTGTTTCCTTTGCCTAGAGCACTCCTCCACCCCCAGAAAATCCCAATTGCCCACTCCTTCATGTCCCCAGGTCATTGTCCAAACATCACTTTGTCAGTGATGCTTTTCCCAAAGTGTTCTATTTTAAATTCTTGCCCACTCAAATCCTGGCTTCCCTACCATTCTTCTCTTTGTTCCCTTTCTCTTCTAAGTACTTCATATCACTGTAATCATCACACATTTTTAATTTTCTTAATGTCATTGTCTCCATTCCTTACAAAAATGAATGCTCCATGAAGGTGACGTGACATCTTCTCTCTTTGCTCTCTGTGTCCTCGGCACCATAGATGCGTTCAGTCAATATTGGCCTTATAGACCAATTCATTCCCATACCAAACAACAAATGATAAATACTGTGTTTAATGCTGAAAATCCAGAGATGAAAACTCAGACCTACACAGCCCTTCACCTGAGCAACTCTCTCCCAGCTGCTGTCCTTGCATTTCTCATGGTCCTCTGCAAGCCACTCCTCCCCAGGAGCCAGAGACATCTTTCTAAAACTATACATTAAAGAGAGGAGGGAGTCATGCCTATAATCCTAGCTACTAGTGAAGCAGAGATCAGGAGGATCATGGTTCAAAGCCACCCCTAAACAATAGTTCATGAGGCCCTATCTCAAAATTACCCAACACAAAAAAGGCTGAAGGAGTAGCTCGAGTAGTAGAGAGCCTGCCTAGCAAGCATGAAGTTCTGAGTTCAAACTCCTGTACCACCAAAAAAGAAAGTTATAAAGTCATGTTATCTCTAACTTCCAATGAATAATGATTAGCCCCCATCTGAATTCTTCTCAATTGGCCATCTCCCTTTCTGAACCATAAACCCCGTTAGGGCAGGGAATCTGCTTTGTTCTCTGCTGTATCTCCAGTACCTAGGTTAGTGTCTGGCCTGTGGTAGGCACTTAACAAATACCTGTAGAAGAAAAGAAAGAAGCAAGGAGAAAGGAAGAAAAAAAAGGAAGCAAAGAGAGGCTTTAAGAAAGGAAATCAATTTGATTCAAGTACAGTACATACACTAATATATATTTATATTCAACATATATATGTCCACAGAAAGTATAATTGATAATAACAGTGAAAATACACATTCAAGTGGTGCCAGAGAAGGATTGAGGAAATCCTCAATCAAACCCACATGCTGACTTTGATGGAACCTGTAGGCAATCCCGTACTGAGTGGCACCATCTGGACTCATCTGAGCTGAGTGACATCCTCAGGTTGATAGTCTGTGGGGACACCTATCTTCCTTCTTTCCTTCCTATTTGCACAAACCTTTCCTCCATGAAAGGGTCACCTCGCCTTTTTGCCCTCTTCCTTGAATCGGGCTTGAGTCTGTGGCTGTTGACCAAAGGAAGTGGCAGAAGTGATGTGGTGGAGCCTAGGACTTCATACCATTAACAGCTTCTACTCTCTCCTTCTTGGAACCCCGCTGCCCTTCTATGACACATCTGAGCTACAGGGAGAGACCACAGGAGGAGAATTGAAGCACTCCATTTGACAGTCCCAGCTGAGATCTGAAGGGCTGGCAGCAACTGGCAGCCATGTGAGCCACACATTCCAGTCCTTCAAGGGCCCAGGAGACTACATCTGACCAGCAGGATTTGCAACAGAACTACCCCACTGAGCCAAAACAAACTGCAGAGTCATAGGAGAAAATAAAGTGGTTGTTCTTTAGGGCACTAAACTTGGCCATGGTTTGTTATGCAGCAATAGACAGCTAAAACACTCTGTAGTTGAATTGGGCTGTGACTTTCAATGGGCATGAAGAGTAGCTTCAAATTCTTCCAGGCACCAGTAGCTCACGCCTGTAATCCTAGCTACTCAGAAGACAGAGATCAGGAGGATCACGGTTCAAAGCCAGCCCGGCAAAATAGTTCACGAGACCCTATCTTGAAAATACCCAACACAAAAACAGGACTGGTGGAGTGGTGCAAGGTGTAGGCCCTGAGTTCAAACCCCAGTACCACAAAAACAAACAACAAAAAAAAGAGATAACAGACTGCCAGAGTAGTTTTTTTTTTTGGTTTTTTTGTTGTTGTTGTTTTGTTTTTTTAAATGAGTACTAGCCCTTCTGCAAATGATTCAGGGAGAAAAAAAATGCAGAGAGAGAATGCATGTGAGTGAATGTGGCAAAACATGATCATTTAGGAGACAGTTTTAGGGCACATGGTGGTTTTTGTTTCACTGTTGTATTGGGTGCTAGGAATTAAATCCAGTGCCTTATGCACACTAAGCATATGCCCTACCACTGAACTACTTTCCTGGACCCTTTGGTCTTATTCTAGCAAGTCTTCTGTAGACTTGAAAATTCCCAAAATAGAGTCAGGCGGCCGGGCACTGGTGGCTCACACTTGTGATCCTAGCTACTCAGGAGGATCATGGTTCAAAGCCAGCCTGGGAAAATAGTTCAAGAGACCCTATCTTGGAAAAACCTATCACAAAAAAGGTCTGGTGGACTGGCTCAAGGTGTAGACCTTGAGTTCAAATCCTAGCACTGCAAAAAAAAAAAAAAAGTTGGGCAGTGGAGACAAACAGAAGGAAATAAAAATTGAATCAGGCAGAACTCATAGAAACCTAAACTTTCTAAGCTTTTTCTTCCTTTTTCTGATGAGACTGGGGTTTAAACTCAGGGCTTCGTGCTTGTAAAGCAGGTGATCTGCTTAAGTCATGCCTCCAGTCCATTTTGCTCTGGTTATTTTGGACTTGGGGTCTCATAAAAGACTTGCCTTGGATGGCCTTGAACCAGGATCCTTTGGATCTCAGCCTCCCAAGTAGCTAGGATTACAGGTGTGAACAACAGCACCCATCTAGGCACTTTTTGAAGTTCTTTACATCCATTATTCATCAAAGCCTTGCACTAAGCATTAGGTTCCTGATCATGTCCCTTTTACAGATGAGTAAATGGAGTCATGAAACAAATAGGTAACTTGTTCCAGGATGTAAACCCTAGCCCATGAAAAGCTCGTGTTCCTTAACTATTCAAAGCATAATTTCCTGCTGCTCCACAGACCCAGAAATGACACAGACAGTTCATTGTCACTAGAGGCAGCTAGCTCCAGAGTGTGCTCACCAGGGGCCAGGATGTCACAATTCTGTTCTGCCATCTTCAATGTATTGTCTGTCCTTAACCTGTAACCCCATGGTCACCAGATGGTTACCGCAGCTGAAGCTTCATATCAAATCCAAGTACAGGCAGCAGAAGAATGACTAAGTGTCCAGAGAGATATTATACACCCCCGCCCCTTTTTTCAAATAGAAAACCCTTTCCAGAATCTTCCCCTTCCCCACACTCAAGCCAATGACCCCTTACATGTGTCACAGTGGGGATCTGGGGCCCAGGGCTACTTCCAGACACCATGGAATGCAGGATGACAAGCCCATTTCAGCCTTGGGCCTAAGTGAACATAGTGACTGCCTCTCAGGTGTCTGTTCTAGCCTGAGGCCTCTGCTTCTGTCCCTAGGGCTCTCAGTCCCAGTGGAACCCAGGGTCTTGTGGGTGGCAGACAAGCACTCTACTACTCAGCTACATCCCCCCAACCCTTATTTGTTTTGTTTTGTTTTGTTTTTTGGTACTGGGGCTTGAATGCAGTGGTGGAGCCACTCCACCAGCCCTTTTGGTAATGGGTTTTTCAAGATAGGGTCTCATGAAATATTTGCTTGAACTGACTTCAAATG